AAACCCCCAAATCCTAAACCCTATGGAACCCCCATATACCCATGGGAAACTCCCATTTGGTGGGAAGCTCCAGGAGCACGTGCCATGCACCATTGCCACCCCTTTGTGCCACCAGGGCACAGAGCGGCCCTCAGAGCCAGGAAAGCATTTGAGCTATAGTCTAAACTCCTTAAAGGGGGTTATATGGGGGATTATGTAGGGGACTAGTATAGGGGTTATTAAGGGGGATACGAGGAGTTTAGACTTTGGCTCATTTGTGGGTTTCCCCAAATAAGGGGTACCCTTTTAAAGGGGTTCTATTGGGGTTATATAGGGATAATGGAAAAGAAAATGGAAACTACTATAATGGGGTTATATAGGGTTTAGGGTTTTCAATGTTTTCCCTTAATGGCTTTAATCGGGGACCCTATATCTTAATATTTTTCAAATGGCCTTAGGGGCCAACCCCGGTATGTGCGGGTTATTTAGGGATTAGGGATAATGGAAAAGAAAATGGAAACCATTGTTGAGGGTTTTCCGAAGTTAGGGGTACCTTTTTGGGGGCTCCCCATAATATGGAGTATAGTATATTGGGGTCTATACTGGGGTCTCCCTATCTTGGCAATTACCATATTCCCCTACATAATCCCCGAATGCTAGTAGTTTCCATGTTATTCGTTTCTGCTATCCCCACATATTCCTATAGAACCCCTGTATTTCCAAAGCTGGATGACCTGCAGAGTCGGCGTCTTTCCTTGCATCTTACAGAGGTTGAAGCCACTGGCTGCAATAACTTGAATCGTGAGCGTCAGGTGCAGTTCTTGTAAGATGAGCCACTTGACAACAAGAAATGCAAAAAACTAGCCATTCAAAGCAGCTAAGGTACGAGAGCTTCGGCTGCAAGAGTTGTTGCCAGGCCTTTGTCCAGCAGCCGCAACATGCATTTTCAGAGGCATTCCTGCTCTACTTCCTGTCTGGCTTGCGCAACGGATTTCACGGCATCGGCTTCCGAAATTTGCAAGAACTGCATGATGGCCTGGAGAAAGAGACCCTCCGAATGGTGCCTCGCCTCACATTTGGGGCTTTGGTTTCAATGAAGTGGTACTTTCCCAAAATAGGGGAACCCCAATACAGACCCCAAAATATTATAGTCCTTACTATAAGGATCCCCAAAAAGGTACCCCTAATTTTGGGAAACCCCTAAGTGAGCCAGCTTCAAGAAGTTCCCCCGGCACCGATGCAGACGGCTGAGGCATGCTAAGGTTCAGGCGGAGTTTCCTGTAGTCTCCTTAGGAATTAATCATAACTTTTAGTATAGTATAGCCCTAGGGACTTATGAAACATACTGTTTGTATAATAGGTCTAAGGAGACTACAGTTTCTAGTTTCAGGCTCCAGGAGGCGTAGCACTGAACACGGGTCAAAGAGAGAGTGACACGAGCGCAAACCGCAGACGGAGAGATATAGATGAAGACCGACGTAGCACATTTGGCGTTCACACAGGGAATTGCCTGCGCCTTTAGAAGCGGACAGCAGATAAGAATCCAAAAGTGAAGAGGGAAGCCAGAACGAAAAACTAAATCAATGCAAATGAGCTCTCGCTCTTGTGTTGAGCAAAATCCGGCCTAGGCCTAAAGGGTTCTCACATTCTGGCTTGAAATTGAGCTCGCGCATAGGGCATGGTCAAATTTAGTGTCAATTTGAGCTCGTGCGTGGAGCGTCCTCACATTTTGCAGGATCCCCACTGAGGGAGAAAAGCACGGCAGAAAGGAAGGAAGCACTTTTTAATGCAGACATGTATCATGTTTTACAGGTATGTTTCTATTCAACCCTTACAAAGGCTGTCCGCATTGCTATTTGTCGTTGCGATTGCATCCTTGTTACATTATTGAGATTACTGTCACTATTTGTTTAATTGTTTAATTCTGATTGTTGTTTGGCTGGTGGCACTTTCATTACTTTCGATTAGCATGACCGTTGTTACAGCCAGTATTACGACACCTGCTTGATTTCTGGTATTCTTACTATTAGCGCTATTCCTGTGCTTGCTCATGCTGGCCGCTAGTACTTCTGGTATTGTTCAAAAAAATATGATTATTGTGACTAACAGCGCCATTATTATTGCGATTAGCGTGGTGATTTCTACTAGTACTCCCATGGGCATGGTTATTACAATTGTCACCTCGTGTTGTTGTCACGACAATTTCCTTCTGTCATTATTATTGTTATCGCTGTTGTCGTTCTTACTACTATGATTGTTCTGTTGTTACGATGAGTATTGTTTCCAGTATGTTTATTATCACTATTTCCGTCATCATAGCCGTTGCGTTTTATAGTTATGGCTGTCATCAACTACATTACTGCTGTCGCGATTATTACTTGTGTTTCTTCACAATTACTGAAATATTGATCTTAATTGCAAATATTGTTACTTTTTCTCTTATAGCCACTGCTATTGCATGGTCTAATCTTCCTCGATGTTGTGCGGTAGGGTGGCTATGCCCCCCTCGAACCCCGGCATTGTTTGTGTTTGAAGGCAAAACCATTGCGAAACGACCTACATACTTGGCAATGGCCATGCTTTCTCATCTTCAGCCATGAAGTACACTTATTGCTCCGAGTCATGATGTGTACAATATTTGCGCAGCGAAAACACCGCCGAAATTTGCCATGTGCAGTGTTTTTCTGCGAGCACTCTGAATCCTTCCTAATTTGAACGGCAATACTTACTAATTGATTTGACCCTTGTCAAGGTTTTGCAATTCTCTGAATCTTGTGAAGTTTATAGTATTTGGGCAGGTAAGTTAGAGCATCTCGTTTTTCATCCCTAATTTCAGGTGTGCATCCCTCACCCTTTGGAATGGGGCACGTAAGATCGCAACCGCCCACCAGTTCTGAATCAGACCTCAAAGTGGGAACTCAAGGATACTGTCTTGTATGCGTTTGGAGGCTTTTCAGCTGCAAGGCGTGGGGACAGAGGACACCGATACGCTCCGCTGCACGCGACTCCGTGCGAACGCGCTTCATGGAAGAAGGGATGCATCGCAAAACCATGGTATGGAAACTACTATAATGGAGAATGTAATATTGGGGCCTACTGTAATGGAGAATCAAATGGAAAAGAAAATGGAAAATGAAATGGAAACTGGGATATATAGGGTGCATTGGGGGTAATATTGGGCCTACATTGGGGTTATATTGGGATAATGGAAAAGAAAATGGAAACTACTACTTAGGGTTTAGGGTTTAGGGGGTTCCCAAAACAGGGTTTAGGGTGGATGCCGCCCATATTGGAGCAGTACTTCCAGCGAAGGGCGGCAGGCAAGGATGGCAGTGAGCGTGAGCAAGCTCCTGTCAGAGCAGCAGTAGGGTAACACATGTGAAGTCCTGTCAGAGCAGCAGTAGGGTAACACATGTGAAGGTACAGAACAGCACACCGAAAAGCAAAGGAAACCTAGACCACTGATGACACAGTTTGGAACAGCAATAAAACGGTTTACGAGCGGAACCTGCACAGTCCCAAGGCAGAGGTACTGTTTTTCACACATTTGCGTCTCATTCAAGGAGTGCCGACTTCCTTACAGTCTTCAGATGCAAGAGGCTTGCAGTCAAGCTGTCGCCCCGGCATGCATTTGCGTTATTCCCCAATTACGGGCCCCTTGTGGTTATAGATTATCTTACGGCACGTAATATTGAGGAATCCCAAAATGAGACCCTAATTTTCGGAACGACACAGTTCCCTGTCCACTCTTTCTGCCGGAGCAGTTCAACTGGCACACTTTTCTGAGGAACAGATCTAGCTAAGCAAGCGACTGAACTGCCAGAAGCAGAAGTACAAATGCTGATGCGTGATGCTAACCATCACTCATCGTAATGAATCCCCCACCCAAAGTAACAGCACCACCCACACCCCTAAGCATAACCCCCCGATATAATACTCCTCCATATTTGGTTGGGGGGGAGGGGCAGCTGTTATTAGGGATACATAAAACCTAGATAATTTCTACAACCCCAAAACAGCATCAGTTTCTGTTTCAAGTTCACGCATTTCGCTTTGGTTTTCTATTAGTATTGATTCTACCAGTATGGTTATTGCTGTTATCATTAATTGAAACCCTTATCACTGTAAGTATTATTACCCGTCCTGACACTACTACTCTCAAGATCTGTAGGCTCTAAACCCTAAACGCCCCACCCCTAAACCCCTGGCCCTTAACCCGAAGCCCTAAATGCTAAACCCTAAAACCCTAAACCCTAAACCCCAAAACCATTATCCGCGGATGGCAGGCGAAGCGGAGCCAACACCCTGCGATACTGCCAGTATCGGTGTTAGCCTCTCAGGGCTGAGTTGTGCAAAAGCTACCCCCATGGATTTTAGGGTTTAGGGTTTAGGGTTTCTGGCAGTTTAGGGTTTATATAGGGTGCATATAGGGTCTTATAGGGACTACACAGGATTGTGCAGATATAGATACATGATGTATGTGTAGATACATGGGGTTTACTTTGGGATTAATAGGGTTATGTAGGTATACATAGAGGAGAACAGAAAGGAAAATGCAGGCTACTGCCTGATTTTGGATTCAGGGGGTATTACTCCAAGAATGGAGAATCAAATGAAAAAAGAATGACAACTGACATCATACAGTGGCCTGTAGTTGTTATTCGTTTGTCGAGAGTCCCAATGATAAGGATTATCGGACTTAAGGGTGTGCATGGAGGCCATTTACGGAAACCCCCAAGTCTGCGCAGATACTATCAAAACACCGCGTGCCTTGAGACAACTACCGTTGACATGTCCGTTTCACCAGCAGAATGAGGACCGCAGGACTGCAATCTTGACAAAGCTGGGAGGGCGAAAAGGCACATTTCTTTTTAAGTAGTATTTGCTTTTTGGGCTGCTATTCTATATCCAGGAAGTTGCAGCATCAAACAAGAAACCCTTTTGCAGCCGAATTCAGATCTTGAAGATGCTGCTTGCTGCATACCATTTTGCTCATGTGGAGGGTTGCTGTCAGCAGGCAGCCTTGCACGAGTGGCTGGCTCAAAGGATCGGTTTTGGCCTGGACGTGCAAACCAGGCGCTCCCCCTTAGGGTTTGGGGTTTAGGGATTAGGGTTTAGGGTATGGGATTTAGGGTTTAGGGCTTAGCTGCCTGCATGTGGACAGGAACAGCCGCATGCTTACTATTATTTCCCCTTTCATTATTATTGTCCTTATTATTGCAAGTACCCCTTGCATTACTAGTATCACTAGGGTTATTATTTTTACTACTATTATTATTGCTGTCTGTATTGTTATTACTATTGTTATTATTACTACTATTATTACTATTAACCCTATTATTACTCTGGTCCTTATTGTTGCTATTATTGCTACTGTCCCTATTATTATTGTCAAGTTTGCCGCATGTAAGTCCACGCTTGGCCCAAAGCGTCCAAATGGTGCCAGATCTGGGGGCCAAGTTGACATGTCAAACAGGATGCTTAGGGCTTAGAATTCATTCGGATTCAGGGTTTAGGGTCTTATATGGGCGTATATATATGGGGACTACATAGGGTTATAGAGGGGTATATGTAGGGGTATTGGGAGAATGGAAAATCAAGCTGGAAACTACTATTTAGCAATAATGGTAAAAGAATAGGGGGAGGGACAGAAATAAGAGAAATAAGGATTCTGACTCCTCCGAGCCGGATGGGAAGCTTCACAGGCTTGTCTGAGCAGGTCAGCGAAGACCATGCCAGACAGCTCCAGGAACAGGGATGGTTCGTAATAGATGATTTTTTGAGTGAAGATATGGCAGTGAATCTGCGAAGTGAAGCTGAGCAAGCTTCAGCTGCTGGTAAGCTTTTGGCCCATCGCTTCCAGTTTGGCTCTGGTACATTTACCAAGCCACAGATTTATGAAGCTGACCTCCACGATGAGACGCTTCATTCCGTACTGCCAACTTATACCGAACTGCTGTTCGATGAGTCTTTATGCAAACGTCTCGACCAGCTTTTGCCAGGCCTTGAGTTGGAGAACGGGCCAAAGGCCAAAACCGTAAAGTTGCAACGCAACTGTGGCGAAGGTGGATGCTTCCCATGTCACTATGACAACAGTGGCCCACCCAGCAGGCGGAGCATCACATGTTTGGTCTATCTAAATCCGCTCTGGCGAGAAGGCCATGGTGGCGAGTTGGTGTTGATGCCTTTCCTGATGCCTCAAGTTGTGATACAACCGCTCATGCGGCGTGCTGTGTTCTTTCGAAGTGATTTGGTTTTGCACTCCGTGCGGCCAGCGTCTGCCGAAAGATTTTGTTTCACAATCTGGTTCGACAGCGCATCCACCAATCGAAGTTCCGATTGCAATTTGACCGCAAAGCTCTTGCGTGAGGAGCCGGAAGTTGTCCAGGTGCTGCAAAAGACTGCGGTGCAGCGGGCAATTTCGCGCGCAGTGTACGCAGAAGAGTATGAAGACTCGCTAGCGGCATGCATGTCGCGGGCAGCCGGTCATGATGAAATGCTTCAGGCACACCAGCAGCATGTGAGACAGCAAATGGAGCACCCACAGTTGGGACCCTTCATTCTGTTCTTGCGAGGCTTGAAGCCTGCTGAAGTAACAACTCTAGACTTGCAGGCGCCGAGAGCATGAGAAGACACAAAAGGCCACAAAAAAAGCCGCTGAATTGGCAGCATGTGGATGCAAGAGGTCCAGAGTAGATTGCTTTGTATTGTCGTTGGGCTTCATGCGTTTCTCCAGTGACAAAATCTAGGAGCTCCAAAAGACTTACTACTGCACAAAGTGACACTGGGATATGCTGACCTGTTTCCGATGTAGTGGAATTCGAAAAGTAAAGCCTTGGCCAGCAGTTACGGTTTGTGCTTTGCATGCACGCCACCTGTGCAGGGCTTTGCAGCTTCAGCTGTAACAGCGCAGTTGGAGTTCTACATGCGGGGTTACTGTTTTCTTCACATGTTTTCGCAGGTTGATATGATGGCGTACCCAGCGCCTGTCCAGCGGTCTGAGACTCGGGAAAGAAGAATCGTTTGTTTCATTGCATGGCTGAACAGATCTCCCAAAGGCTAATTAATGCTGTGCAACCGACATGCTTCAGCCTCAAACATGGCTTCCCCACGGGCTCGACCTACATGTTCTTGGCGTAGCACTTGAGAGTCACGGTTGCCAGCTTCGCGATGCGCACACAATGCAAACTCTGTGAACCCATACAGTGTTTGCACATGGATACTCCTGACGCCCACACCCTGATCAGCACCAGGTCAGTTGCCTCATGATACTTAGTAAGGAAGTTGATTGGTACACCGGCCAGCAGGAGAACGCAACAAACGATGCAAGCATTCAATGCCACGAACACTCTGCACACATGTCAAAACAATGACAGGGCGATAGCTTGTCTCGTAATGACACACATGGTTCCTTGCAAGAGTGTTGCGCGGAGCTGTGACAGCAAGGCGTATTATGGGGAAAGCGCGGGCTGGCCCGGGCCACCAGCGTTTGTAGGACCCGTTAGCGAAGCTCAGGTTGTTATCCGTTGGCACCGATCCTGCCAGCAACGTGATGGCGAGCGCCGCGCGGAGCTGATGTTTAGAGCACATTTCTGAAGCCATGCTCTGATTTTGTTCAGGTCAAAGGAAACTCATGGGCCCCGGCGATGCATTTGCCAGTGAAGGCATCAGCTGACTGGGGGGAGCTCCGCCAGCTTTCCAGAAATCTCCATTGAAGCAGCTATATACATAGGCAATCAACCCCCGCAGTCAGCCCATTTCAAAAACTTCCCAGGCCCTGTCACGCACACGAGCCTTCAACGGCTCAACACACAATCCAAAACAGTGCAAGACATGGATGCCATGGATCCATGAAGTTCTCTGATAGTAAGAAGAGTAAGGGTATAGATAGTCATGATAGTAACAACAGTAATAATCCGATCGGTTTTGAAAAGCTTCAAGGCATGCTGGCACCAAGTTACGATTGGCAGCCACAAAGCACAGACTGAATCGGACCGGAACCTGCCAACCTTAACCTCAGTTGGCATCCAACCCATACGCATACCTTCATGTTGTGTTTGTGGCCAAGTGAGCAAAACAATTGCATCGGCCCATCCAGCGCAATGAGCGTTATTTGAAACTTTAATTCATTGCTCTTTTCTTTACCGCCATGTCTGCGTAGAGCTACATGACTCCGAACCAAAACGCGATTCCTTCAATTTTGCAGAAGAGGACGGTGCATCTTTGCAGGGCACCAGGTGCTCTTTCTGCAATGGGCTGATCACCCCTCTGCAGCAGTACCCTACAAAGCCAAGCAGTCATGAATTATCCCTATATAATCCCAATATATATATATATGTATATATATATACATACCCTATTGTAATTTAGTATTTTCCATGTTCTTTTCCATTATCCCTATATAACCCCCTATATATACCCGATTATACTGTAGTAGTTTCAATTTTTTCCATTATCCTTATACAAGCCCCAATATATACCCCATTATTATATAGTAGTTTCCATTTTCCCTTATCCCTCTACAACCCCAATATAACCCCTATATAACCCTAGGCAACAATGGACAGTGCCAGGTTGTGGCTTCAACCGGTCCGGCGACACCGGCAACGATGACGCCAACCACTCCTGTTATGCTGCTTTGCTAACAAGTTTTAGGGTTTAGGGTTAGGCTCTTTGTTAAGTGAGCTGTAGTCTAAACTCCTTAAAGGGATTATATAGGGGAGTATTGTAGGGGTTTAATAAGGGGGATACTAGGAGTTAAGATTATAGCTCAACTAGTTATAGCGCAGGGTCTGTGAAGGCACACGTCTCGGGCCATGGTCCTGAGAAGGGTTGTTCTAGCACTTCTGGTGCATCATTGAAATGATTGTGATTATGATTTTCCTCTTTGTTTTCTGCTTCTAAGGGTGCATAGAGCTTCGGCACTCCAGTTTTACTCTGCGCTCTTGATGTTCAACTTTTAATCTGGTTGTCCTGGCGGCTGATTGCTGTAGATAGGCCACCAAGAAATCATTCAAGAAGCATGCAATCGATGTGATGACTTGTGGCTGAAATTCTAGAGCCTAGATCTCAGAAACATCCCGCCGCATGAATCTCTCTCCGTCGTGCAAGTAGCGCAATTGCAAATGCAATGCTTTTGTCCCGGCAGCATTCTGGGCGCAAATACCTTATAATAAAACGGTTGATTTTTTGGGGAGTGACCTGCTTGAGACGCAGGCTTTAGACATGTTATTTCGTCCGTAAATCCCGTGCCGTTGCTCCACTCCGGCATGGATGCTCTGGTGATTGGAAGCTCTTGGGGGCTGCATTTTGAAATGGCTACTCTGGTGTTCATGGTGCTCGCACGCACTTGAACGTGGACGTTGTTTTGGCTTGGCTTGCATTATCTGGTCAACCGGATGGATGTTACAGTAGTTCTGGAATCTCTTGCCTGGTCACGGTATGCAGTCAGTGATGGACTTTATTACCGATAGGTCACGTGCGATCAGGTCACCGGATGCCCGGGACATCCCGAAAATGTGCAAGCCACCGAGGGCTTCCACACGCAAGCAGAAATACACACAGCGATGGGCCCGCAAGGCAATTCTCAATTTTTCGTATATATATATGTATATATATATATCTTCGTGAAGACGGCCATTGCGGGATGCAACCCATGATGGCCGAAGATGAAAACGCGCAGGAGAAAGAATGAATGCTCTAAGATGCTTGAGGTTTCCCTCAGCAAAGGTGAGGTCAAGTCCTTAAGCCCGCATGTTTGACACACAGCGCTTCTCTCAAAAAATCCTGCAAGGTTTTGGTTGAACGTCTTGTCCTAGATCCCATCAATTTGGCATGTGCTCTTTGCTTGCCTGGCCTGGTGTGCCGGGCCTGGCGAAGACGCAAGCAGCATGCGGATGCCAGCTCTTCATGTAGTGGAGGAGATGAGGATGATGAAGTGTTGCAAAAGCCACTTGTTCCAGCAGGGCTCTTGAAAAGCGGCCGCAAAAACCCACCCTAGAACTGCTGCCAACAATTCGCCAGGCCACTTGAATTTATGCAAGGCTCGCCCGTCATCTTGTCAAATGGCAGTTTCCCAAAATTAGGGTACCCCAATATAGACCCCAATATACTATAGTCCTTATTATATGGATCCCCAAAAAGGTACCCCTAATTTTGGGAAACCCCCAAATTAGTTGGATACACTCAGGTCCTTCACTTCAACACCAAGAACATCAGTTACAGGACCTGGAAGCACTGTTGGCTTTAGCAGGCACCTCTGCATCTTTTGCCGGCAGGCTCGCCAGCATTGCGGCGCGAACCTTATGGGAGAGAGCAACTCTTGATCATCAGTATTGTTGGCGTCGTCTCTGCTCAGTAGTGTAGACAGTGCCCTTGTTCTGTAGCCAAGCAAGATGAGCTGAGGTCAAGCTTTGGCACGGCAGTCATGCACCCGCCAGTGATACCGTGGCGAGAAGGATTAGGCAAGCCAAGATTCGCAGATGGCATTGGCAATGTGGCACAAAATTCTAGCTTGAATGAAGGCCAACAAGCAGCGACATCCGTGTTGCGTTGCGCTTGGAAATTTCATTTGTAGTGGTCTTGCAGACAGGTCAGCATTTCAGCAGATACCTGCTCCCATGGCTCTTCGTGCAAAAATGTGAACTGGGCAGTATGCTGTGCCCAAACCTCTTGCACAGTGGCATTCAAAGACTAGCACATCCAATTCAGGATGGAGGGCGTGCGCGGTCTGCTCCATCGCGAGCGACATTACGTAGGCAAATGTTAGGAGACTTAGTACTTAGTACCAGATGTCTCATGATGTTGCCCAGGAAAAAGGGGAGTGTGTAGATGATCACAGGGTTGGTCGGCCACTTTGTCGCAGGGCCACCATCCCGGTAGTGATCTCGAGGTAGGCCTGAGTGAGGCGCTCTTGGGGCATCTTGAGTGAGCAGCGGCGATCTCCCCTACACCAAAATCCTGGGTTGCTGTTAAGGAACTTAAATTAAGCTACCATAATGGGTATATATAGTAAATAATAGGGTTTCCCCAATATAGTAACTTAATTTAAATTGAGAGAGTAACTTAATTTAAATTCCTTAACAGCAACCCAAAATCAGACAAGGCCAAGGCCGCAGGGAAAGCTGCAGTATGAAACCTGACAGCCACAGCTTTGCAAGACTGGAGTCGCTAACAGAACAAGTGACGGAACGAGAGAATGTAAAACGCATCGCAGGTGAGTGCAAAGCTTCTTCTGGATCATTCCACATTACAAGTATGTAGCACCCATCACTCATCCATCTTGACCCCACAGGTAGGCTGGCCATAACTGCATTTAAATTGGAGTTAAACTTCAGTCTCTTACTGCCTCAACTGTTGGGACTGCGGTCTGTCTGGCTTGGCTCCGTTGGGAGGCCTCCCTGGTAAGCCAGGGGCTCTAAACCCTAAATAGTCGTTTCCATTTTCTTTTCCATTATCCCCATTTCACCCCTATATAACCCTAATCCCGTTGCATCAACCCTGTCCACCAAGAGGAGTCCGGGGACCTTGTCATAGGCTGGGTCTTCACTCTTCCGCAGGCCCCAACATGTCTCTCTCCGAGTCGGAGTGTGAGCGGGCAATGAATTGAGGTGGATTGGGCCATCATGCCAGTGCATGAACACAATCAACTTCGCAATCCTTTGCATCAACATGCGGAAACTATCTCACGTACCCGGCGTAATAGCTTGTGGCGGAGGCTGACTCAATCTAAGGCAGGAGCCCATCATGATGCTGCAGCCGCCGCCAGCACAGGCTCTAGCCCGCTCAGAGCAGATCGGATTCTTTGATTATAGACCCCCGTTACTGCCCGAGTGCTTAGGAGAAACAATTCCTGTACTGCCATGTACTGCTGGCGTGCAGGCCTCTCCAGCTGCAACCTACACTGCGTCCAGCAGGATGCCTCAGCACAGGCCGCTATGGGGGTTTCCCAAAATTATGGGTACCATTTTGGGGGTCCCTATAATAAGGACTATAGCATTTTGGGGTCTATATTGGGGTCTCCCTATTTTAGGAAACTACCTTATCATGTCGTGGAACAAGCACTGCCCCCACAGGTCGCCACCGCTTGCTGCAGGACCGGAAGCAACATCCAAACCTGGATAATTCCCGTCACCTTGACTCAGTACCAAGATCAGCTCTGCTAGGAGCAGCAGTAGTTGACCGAAGTGACTTGGAGACTCGCCTTCGTGCAGCAATCCAACAGGACCCTCCATCGCAAGACCATAAGAATAGCAATGGTAATAATCATAGTAATAACTATCATAGTACGAACAATAGAAATAATAGTAAGAATGATCATACTAATGATGCTAATAGTCCCTTCATTGCCGAACTGCCTGAAGGTTGGTCGGAAACCCAAATGGAGGCTCCCAAAAATGAGCGTACCTTTCAAGGGGAATAAAGGGGTTCTATAGGGAATATAGGTGTTCAGGGTCAAGGGCTTAGGGTTTCCCAAAATTAGGTGTACCGTTTTGTCGGTCCCTATAATAAGGACGATAGTATTCTGGGTGTCTATATTGTTCCCCTATTTTGGGAAACTACCAATCGTCTCAAAGGCGGCTGCCATTTCAAACTCAGGATCTCGACCAGCTCATTGAAATGCAGCTTTCGCCTCAGCAATGCAAGATGAAGCCCCTAGGATTGCTGTAAGGTGGAATTTAACCTCAGTTCGGAAGGGCAGGCCAGCTCAGCTTGCGTTCGGTATAGTGCTGAATGTATCGCTGAGGCTGGAAGAATGCGGCTTGCGGCTCTGAACTAAGAATGTTCATCGTGACCTCTCTGCCTGCTGAAGAAGCCATCCCCATAGACCACATGTCATACACTCTGCGGGCATCCCAACCGTAGGCTGCCCTTCCTCCAGACACACAGACCGCTGGAAGTATTGGGTACATGGACTGTGGGCTAATATACCCTATTATACTATAGTCGTTTCCATTTTCTTTTCCATTATCCCTATATAACCCCAATATGACATACCCCTATATAACCCCTATAGTAGTTTCCATTTTAAACCCTACACCCTATATAGGGCAAGGAGTGTACTCTAAAGAGAGGCTTGCAGCTCAGGAGCGCTAAAGTGGCAACCGAGCTTATTGTAATATTGGAATAATGGAAAAGAGAATGGAAACTACAGGGATTATAGGGGTTATATAGTGAGTATAGGGTGTATATTGGGGATATATTGGGATAATGGAAAATAAAATGGAAACCACTATAGTATATTTGGGTAATTTTGGGATCATGGAAAAGAAAATGGAAACTACTATTTAGTTTTAGGGCAGTGGCATGGAGCGGCTAATTGGTTACCAAGGAAGGAAGCGGCCACAGCAAGCTCAGCCAAAGACAGGACCTCAGCTTTCCTTGGCGGAAAAGCGATGTCTGGTCGGCATTCTTCCTGTGAAAGCTTTGCTTGTTAGAAATCATTTGTCCGTAGTAGCCTTTAGGGGATTCTGGTTTCAGATTTGTACGCTCCAATGGATGGTTGAAGATGGTTCCGCTATCTGCCAAACTCGAACACGGACACGCAGCGCTCGCATAATCACGATTCGCACGCTTCGGACTTGTACGATCGTATGTACGCAACGACACAACCCTCTTGCTGGTGAGCTGCCTGCATTGTGTAGCAACAGCCTTGCATTGCATGGCTAACAAGCACTAAGAATGTATACTTGTTTCTCTCTTTTGTGTTGCATGGATGGCTGTCATGTCAAAACCGATCATGTAGCTTGCTTGAAGACATTGCTTGTGTGAGCGACTGCTTCGTGATTGGATCGCAGTGGGTCATTCAAAGATCCGGAGAATTTCCGGGGAACCTTTCCAGAAGTTCATTTGCTCATTCGTCATTGGGATACGCCCATGTTCTGCTGGCTTTACCTTCAACGTTATGTGGGAGTTTCCACAAACAGCAGTAACCCCTACATACCCCAATAAATTGTAGTCCAAAGTACATGGACCCTTAGAAGACCCCTCATTCTCGGAAACCTTAATCTCTAAAAAACACAACATAATCCTAACCTCCATGTCATGTTCCATCTACCTTTCCGTTTGATGCTCCATCATTCGGGTTGTATATAATCCTACATAACCCCTGCAAGTACCCTAAACCCCAAACCTAAAAACCCTAAAATCCTAAACCATTAACCCATCTTAACCCCAAACCCTAAAAACCCTAAACCTTAAAATCCTAAACCCTCAATCCCAGACACTTAAAGCCCTAAACCCTTCGTTTTCAGTCCATCTTTCGCTCGGGATCCCAAAGCAACACCTCGCTGTCATGCAAAATGCCCGCTTTACTCCCAATAAGATTGCTTCATAGTACTGTAGGGTTTAGGGTTTAGCTTTTTTTATATGAGCCATAATCTAAACTCCTTCAAGGGAGTTGGATTATATAGGGGACCACTAGAGGGGATATAAAGGGGGATGCGAGGAGTTTAGACCATGGCTCATATAGGGGTCCCTTTAAAAGCATTATCTAGGTGTATTTGGGTGATATATGGATATTAAATAGTAGGGTTTAGGGATACTACTTAAACATCTTAAACAATAAAAAAACAAATGAAAAATTGAACATGAAACGAAAACTATCATGTTATGTCCAGCCACGATTTCCCTCGATTCCGGGGCCCTCCTCAGACTGTCAGTCATTTGTGGGTGCAGATTTCTCAGCTTAGGGCCGCCCTGTGTGGTTCCATCATTTTAAAGCTCCCAAAATTTCTCAGCTTGACGGTTTTTTACTTGTAGATGCTATATTCCTGCCTGTTTTGGCCCTGGGGTCCTGTCAGAATGCTTTTGGGGGTTTGCTACAACTAGGGGTGCCTCTTTGGGGTCCACATAATAAGGACTATAGCATTGTGGGGTCTATATTGGGGTTCCCCTGTTTTGGAGACAACCATTTCTCTAAAACCGCAAGAGTTGTCGAGGCTCGAGGTTTCTTACCGGGCATAAGTGTGTCTGGTTTCGGTGCTCCTGAATTCACGCATCTTTCAGACACATGTTGTCGAAAATGTTGTTACCAGAACGTGTGACCACGATAAATACCCATTAATTACTACCAGCAATTATTCTTGTGGCTTTTGCGACGATATGGGTGGTCTTAGCAATAGTTTCTTACATCTTGTGACACATGTTACACATTCATGTTAATCTCGACCCAGTTCTTTGTCTAGTGTTCATTGAGAACTTGTAGCTGTTCATCACGTGTTGCACCATGTTTGCGTGTCACCCATGCTGTAATGTAGTGCTTCGCGTGCGTTTGAAACGGCAGCAGTGCATTTTGATTTGGGATTCGCAGATTTGCAAACGCGTGAGTTTGGTGAGGCGTTTGCAAAGGAAAACGGCCCAGGTTGTTTGTACATGCACGTCTTGGGGTAATGTTGGGGATACATTGGGATAATGGAAAAGAAAATGTAAACTACCATAGTATATTGGGGTTATGTTGGG